ATAGGCAGTGTTTTTAATCTATATTATTGCTTGTGCGAACATGTCCTTTACCTCTTTTTGTGCCAAAATTTCATCTATGGATAACTTATATATGAGATATTACTCTGCCAGCCTCTGGAAATGCCTCGGGTTCCTCTGTATTGTGTAGCTCTGCTACAATCCTTTTGCAACATGGATCAAGGAGGATTGCCAACAAGTAATGGTCCTGCTCCTTGATGCCATAAATCTTAGGGTCCTTTAGCAAGCTCTGGAGCATGTGGGGGCCTATGCACTGCAAATTAGAGGAGGCAGAGGATCCTTGGGGAACACTGAGGAGGACATTGTTCTGAGCTTCCTCCCCCAACTACATACTACTGCTGGGGTTTGGGAGGCATGAAACCCACCCCTGGAAGACTCACCCATGTTATCTTCAGCTTCAATGCTCTCACTGAAACTATACTCCTCCTCCTGTGCTTGCTGTCAAGTACCCTGTGCTTGATGCCATTCAGTGCATGCTGCAATAGGAACACAGCTGGTACAGTGTCAATGATACATACATTGCCACGACTCACCATTCTTGTCACTTCCTCAAACGGTGACATTACAATGCATGACACCTGTATCAGCAGCCATTGGCATGTAGAAAAGAAGTCCAGCTACCAGGGACCTGTCCTTTTGCTATACTCATTCAAGTACTCAATAATCACTGTGTGCTAGATGTAGCCACTGCAGCATGGCCAGTTGAATTCCAGCTGGTGGCCATGTATCAGATCTAGTGGTTTGTTGGCAAGTGGAAATCCCTTTGAATTTCATCCAGCCAAACACTGGCTGGATATGATGACCTTTAATGGCTACAAGCTCTTTGGGCCTGCCTCTGAAGATTGTGTAACCCAGGGCACCTATCCAGGAACTGCTGCACCACCAGACTGAGGACATGTGCCAGACTCCCTGCCAGGGAAGGGGGGGGAGCAGGCTGGTGCCATTGCCCCATTGTCCCACACCACAATTAACAGCATTAGCACCTTTACCACTAGTTGTAAGGATGCAGGGTGGAAGAATAAGGTTCAGTGATGAGCCCCATTCTGTATCCTTCCTGCCTGCCATCAAAGTCACTCATTGGGACGTAAATGATACATAGCATCCCTGCCCATACTTGCTGGGCCGTGTGTTTGCTGTCATATGAGCTCTGCTGCTGATCACTAGTGTTGGGCTTGATGTTAAGTGTTGAACCTAAGTTTGACTTGAACATTGTCCGTTTGTGTGTTCAGCGAAGATGCGAACATTAAGGGCATTCAGCTTGCTATTCGCCGCCATGCCCCACGATATACTGCACCCTGACAGTGCATTGTGATTGGCCAAAGCAATGCACGTGACCACTGGTCAACGGCAACGCTTTAGCTAATCACAGTGCATGATGATGTCATAAGGGGGCGTGGTGCCTACTCTGAAATGCCAGTCTGTGATTTCGGCCACCAATGCCAAGGTCCACTAGGGAAATGCAGAAATGAACCACCAAGGTACTCCCCATCTTGCCTGCCATCAGTGATGATCACCTACAAAAGATATGCCCCCCATGAGTTCATCTACCCAACTGTCACAGGGGAATTACAGAGAAAGAGAGTGCACGTGAAAGAGCGCGTGAAAGGGAGAGCGTGAGAGAAAGAGAGAGAGTGAGAGAAAGAGAGCGAGAGAACATGAGAGAAAAAAGAAAAAAAAAAAAGAGACAACAAAGAGAAAAATACAGAAAAAGAGAGAGGGATGAGCAGGTCACAGACCAACTATTAAGCTGAATCTTTGTTGATGCTGTCAGTTCTCATTTGCAGTAAGCTTCAGGTGTAAACCCTGCACCTACTGATCACTTTTTTTGCTAGGCTAGGCCCAATGCAGCTAAGTTACCTCTTCTGCTCCCCTGAGCACTGCAATTGTGTACACCCAAACATCCTAGTGCTGTACCTGTGCACACCTTAACATCTTACTACGTACTGCAACTATGAACAGCCTGACATCTTACTGGTGCAATTGGGTGTGCCTTTGTTGAAAGTACTTAACTGCATCTAAAGATTCCCCTCCCTTGGGCCCCAGTGTAGCCAGGAAAACATTCACCTCAGAAACTTTGTCCACAAACTATACCTTAGATGAAGTCGGAAGTGACGAAACGGGTCAGAATGTGACGTCGGACGTAAACCAGAAGTTGCGGAGCAGCCATTTTGGAAAAGGTTTTTTACACTGTTTGCCAGCCGTATACATGCTGAGACACCTTGTCTTTCCTGTAAGCACAATTTGATCATTAACCACTTCCAGACCGGACACTTTTACCCCCTTCCTGACCAGGGCAATTTTCAGCTTTTAGCGCTATCACACTTTGAATGACAATTGCGCGGTCATGCAACACTGTACCCAAATGAATTTTTTACCATTTTTTTTTAGATAGATAAAGCTTTATTTTGGTGGTATTTATTCACCACTGGGATTTGTATTTTTTTTGCTATGTAAATGAAATGTCCAAAAATTTTGAAAAAAAGTGTTTTTTTAATAAAATTTTGCAAATAAATAATATTTCATCATAAATCTTAGCCAAAATTTATTCCGTTATCTTTTTAGTAAAAAATTAGTTTATAAGCAAAAATTATAATTTTTAAACATTCTTTTTTACATTTTTATTTTATTTTTTTATATTATTATTTTTTATTTTTATTTTTTTTTTACATACTGTCACCCTAGCAGTACAGTGTCACCATGGTGACACTGTACTACTTGTGAGGGGTGATGAAGATTTTTTTTTTTTTTTTTACACTGATTACTTTTACACCCATATAGGATGTAAAAGCAATCATTTCTCTTTCTCTCTGTGTGCATTCTTGCACTCATTGAGAAGAACTGAGTGAGCTGTGATTGGTCACAGCTTGTCACATGGTACAAGGCTTTTGTGAATAGCCTTGTACCATGTGACCTCTGTGATCATTCACAGATTTCACACATAGTAAGCAATGATGTCAGAAGTGACATCTTGCTTACTACTTTGCATGTGATCACTGATTGGCCAATCAATGATCACATGATCGGGACCTCGTACAGAGGTACCGTCCGACGATCGGTGTTTCACTTTGTCCGGAGGACACAGCGGGCACCGGATCGCGGTGCTGCGCGCTCCCAGGGAGCGCGCACAAGCAGGGTGCGGGGAGGCCGTTTATAGACGGCCACCCGACCCTGCAGTGCCACCGTCCAGCCGTTTATATACAACGGCCGGTCGGGAAGTGGTTAAAGGAGCTATAACCCTATTATTACCTACTACACTATGTTGGTTGTACTTGCTACATGTTATGATGCCATTTGAGAACTGGATGATCTATACAGTGAGAAAAGCCCCCCTTTTCTAAAGCATACAGATCTTGTCATCTGGTAAGGTGCATAAGATAAGATGTGGCAGTCAGTGTGCACACTAGCACTAGGAGTTTGTTACGAGGGGAGCACGAGCTGAGTGAAAGTATTTTTGTGATACAATGATTTATGCGATTCCTTTGGAGGTATATTTCCTATGCGAAGGCGGACGGATTTAGGAACCTAACCACAAAGCAATATTGTGTGGAAGATTTTTTTTGATTTATAAGAGGGTAAGAGTAAGGATGGTTAAAGATGCACACACGGTGGAGTGGATTTTTGCACGCAATTCACAATTTTTGTAAATGCGTTTTGCTATGTTGACTATAATGCGTTGTAGATAATGCACTATATGCGATTTATATTTTTTTGAGGGCACTAAGAGGAGGAAGAGGATTTTTTGGCACTTGTGGAAGAAGAATATTCACTAAGAAAATATTAGTACCACTGGTTATTTTATACACAGAGACACTGAATAAAAGTTGGACTGTTTTGGACTTTCGTGAGAGAAAGTGTTTTTTGGCATCGGGGGTTTTTAATTTGTTATATTTTGGTTTATTATTTTGTGTCATCACCTAGTATTATACCGATAAATAAATGTATCTGTCAGGGAACCGAGGAGAAAAGACAGCTAGTGTGTTACTTTTGTTATTGTTTACACCAATTGATCACTCTGATTGGCTGTCACAGTGATCATTCACTGAGGAAGTCTTCTGACTGGCTCCTAATCATAGCAGTGGGAGCTTATCTATCTACAGACAACAGAAGGGAGCAGGGGAGAAGAGAAACTGCAGGCAGTCTTCTGGATGTACAGGAAACTCCTTGTGTACAGAGGAGGAGATTGTATGGCTCTGTGTAACATGCTGAAGGGAGGCAGCTGGTTAACTGACATCGGAAGCAGAAGTTGTCCTTCCCCCCTCCCTCCCCATAGTTTTCTAGGACACGTGACAGGCCTGAAAAGACTATGGGACGATTCACAAAGTGCAGCACTACCAGCGCATGTGGCACCCGGCTGTAAAGCCACAAGCTGTCTGTTAGGGATCCAGGTATGACCAGAAATGTGTGGACTGACACAGGGAAATGCAGGCTTCAGAAATGAAATAATAATAGAATTTATTAAGAGCTGCAACAAAATAAACAAACGCAGTGCAAACAAAACCAAACCTTAAACTAATATAAATAAGAACAAGTGTTGTCAAGGCTGGAGAGGTGGAGTGGTCAGGCAGGCCGGGTCAGGAACAATCGGGCAGACAAGGTACAACAGGAGCAGGCAGGAGAATGGTCAGGAGTAGCCAAGGTCGGTGCAGGCAGAGTTCTAGCAGAGTCCAGATCAGGCAGAAATATCAGGCAGGAGTATCAGACAGGATGCAGGTACAGGGGCTCATGGGAACAAACACCAAGGCACTGATTGCAGGCCTGGTCCTGCTTAAATAGACCTCCTGCAATCAGCCTCAGGTGATGGCTTGATTGCAGGAGTGAGACCCTGGCTGCTGAAAGCAACTTCTGGTAGGAGCTGGTACTGCAGCCCAAAGAGCAAGTGAGCCACAGCACCACCAGTGGTGAGTCCATTCCTGACAGTACCCCCCCTCAAGGAGCGGCCTCAGGACGCTCCAAACAGTCCTTAATAGAAAAAATGTTCCACCGCCTGGGTCAGGTAACTGGCTGGATATCCCACTGCCGGAGTCAAGTGACTGACTGGGTCTCCTGCTGATAGGCCTATCTTTTTGCAGGAGACCACAAGAAGGCAGGTTGCTGGGCCGCAGGCACCGGGACATCAGGCTGAGCGATAGTTATCGGTTCCTCAGGCTGGATAACGGACACCGGAGCATCAGGCTGAATGACGGACACCGGAGCATCCGGCTGGATAGGATCATTAGGATGGGTAGCGGTGCACCAGCACCAGATCATCAGGCCGGGTAGGATCATCAGGCCGGGTAGGATCATCAGGCCGGGTAGGATCATCAGGCCGGGTAGCGTACACTAGGTCATCAGGCATCAGGGCATCAGACTGAACAGCGGGCACCGGGTCATCAGGCTTGACCGCGGGCACCGGGTCACCTGGCAGAACAGCGGGCACAGGGTCATCTGGCAGAACAGCGGGCACCGAGTCATCTGGCACGACAGCGGGCACCGAGTCATCTGGCACGACAGCGGGCACCGAGTCATCTGGCACGACAGCGGGCAACGAGTCATCTGGCACGACAGCGGACACCGAATCATCTGGCACGACAGCGGGCACCGAGTCACCAAGCTCGACAGCGGGCACCGAGTCATCTGGCACGACAGCGGGCACCGAGTCACCAAGCTCGACAGCGGGCACCGAGTCACCAAGCTCGACAGCAGGCACCGAGTCACCAAGCTCGACAGTGGGCAGCGAGTCATCTGGCAAAACAGCAGGGCAGCGAGTCACCTGGCACGACAGCGGGCACAGAGTCACCTGGCACGACAGCAGGCACCGAGTAACCTGGCACGACAGCAGGCACCGAGTAACCTGGCACGACAGCAGGCACCGAGTCACCAAGCTCGACAGCGGGCACCGAGTCATCTGGCACAACAGCGGGCACCGAGTCACCAAGCTCGACAGCGGGCACCGGGTCATATGGCTCGACAGCGGGCACCGGTCACCTGGCACGACAGCGGGCACCGAGTCACCTGGCACGACAGCGGGCACCGAGTCACCTGGCACGACAGCGGGCACCGAGTCACCTGGCACGACAGGCGGGCACCGAGTCACCAAGCTCAACAGCGGGCACCGAATCACCAAGCTCGACAGCGGGCACCGAGTCATCTGGCACGACAGCAGGCACCGAGTCATCTGGCATGACAGCGGGCACCGAGTCATCTGGCACAACAGCGGGGCACCGAGTCATCTGGCACAGCAACAGCGGGCACCGAGTCACCAAGCTGGCACGACGACAGCGGGCACCGAGTCATCTGGTTCGACAGCGGGCACCGAGTCACCAAGCTCGACAGCGCGGCAACGGGTCATATGGCTCGACAGCGGGCACCGGGTCACCTGGCACGACAGCGGGCACCGAGTCACCTGGCACGACAGCGGGCACCGAGTCACCAAGCTCGAAGGCGGGCACCGAGTCACCAAGCTCGACAGCGGGCACCGAATCACCAAGCTCGACAGCGGGCACCGAGTCATCTGCTCGACAGCGGGCACCGAGTCATCTGGCACGACAGCGGGCACCGAGTCACCTGGCACAACAGCGGGCACCGAGTCACCAAGCTCAACAGCGGGCACCCGAGTCATCTGGCGACAACAGCGGGCACCGAGTCACCACTGCTCACAGCCGGCACCGAGTCATCTGGCACGACAGCGGCACCGAGTCATCCACTCGACAGCGGGCACGAGTCACCGAGCACACAAGCAGCGGGCACGAGTCCTGGCTACGACAGCGGGCACGAGTCCTCCAAGCTCGACAGCGGGCACCGAGTCATCTGGCACAACAGCGGGGCACCAGAGTCACCACAGCGGGCACGAGTCACCAAGCTCGACAGCGGGCACCGAGTCATCTGCACGACAGCGGGCACCGAGTCATCTGGCACAACAGCGGGCACCGAGTCATCTGGCACACAGCGGGCACCGAGTCACCAAGCTCGACAGCGGGCACCGATGTCATCTGGCACGACAGCGGGCACCGAGTCATCTGGCACAACAGCGGGCACCGAGTCACCAAGCTCGACAGCGGGCACCGAGTCATTCTGGCTCGACAGCGGGGGCACCGAGTCATCTGGCACAACAGCGGGCACCGAGTCACCAAGCTTGACAGCGGGCACCGAGTCATCTGGCAAACAGCGGCCCATCGAGTCCCCTGCACAGCGGCATCCGAGTCCAATCCCCACGCTCGACAGCGGGCACCGAGTCATCTGGCACTCGACAGCGGGCACCGAGTCATCTGGCACGACAGCGGCACCGAGTCACCAAGCACGACAGCGGGCACCGGGTCACCCAAGCTCGACAGCGGGCACGAGTCATCTGGCACAAACAGCGGGCACCGAGTCACCTGCTCGACAGCGGGCACGAGTCCATCTGGCACGACAGCGGGCACCGAGTCATCTGGCACAACAGCGGGCACCGAGTCACCCCAGCTCGACAGCGGGCACGAGTCACCTCCACGCTCGACAGCGGGCACCGAGTCATCTGGCAAAAACAGCGGGCACGAGTGAGTCCATCTGGCACGACAGCGGGCACAGAGTCATCTGGCACACAGCGGGCACCGGGTCACCATGCTCGACAGCGGGCACGAGTCATCCGGACGACAGCGGGCACGAGTCAACTGGCACGACAGCGGGCACTGAGTCATCTGGCACGACAGCGGGCACCGAGTCATCTGGCACAACAGCGGGCACCGAGTCATCATGGCTCACACAGCGGGCACCGAGTCTCCCATACTGCTCGACAGGGGCACCGGGTCATCCAGGCTCGACAGCGGGCACCGAGTCATCTGGCACAAAGCGGGCACCGAGTCATCTGGCACACAGCGGGCACCGAGTCATCAAGCACGGCACACCCGAATCACCCAAGCTCGACAGCGGGCACCGAGTCACCAAGCTCGACAGCGGGCACCGAGTCATCATCTGGCACGACAGCGGGCACCGAGTCATCTGGCACTACAGCGGGTACCCGAGTCATCTGGCACAACAGCAGACACCAAGCTCGACAGCGGGCACCGAGTCTCTGGCACGACAGCGGGCACCGAGTCATCTGGCACGACAGCGGGCACTGAGTCATCTCTGGCACAGCGGGCACCGAGTCATCTGGCAAACAGCGGGCACCGGGTCACCACGCTCGACAGCGGGCACCGAGTCATCTGGCAAGACAGCGGGCACTGAGTCATCTGGCACGACAGCGGGCACCGAGTCATCTGGCACGACAGCGGGCACCGAGTCACCAAGCTCGACAGCGGGCACCGAGTCATCTGCATGGACAGCGGGCACCATGAGTCATCTGGCACCGATTCTGGCAGCGGGCACCGAGTCATCTGGCACAACAGCGGGCACCGAGTCATCTGGCACGACACAGCGGGCAACCGAGTCATCTGGCAAACAGCGGGCACAGATGTCACTGGAACTGCACGGGCACCGAGTCATCTGGCACGACAGGGGCACCGAGTCACCAAGGCACTCAACAGCGGGCACGAGTCACTGGCAAGCAGGGGGCCGGCCGAGTCATCTGGCACTACAGCGGGCACCGAGTCATCTGGCACAACAGCGGGCACCGAGTCACCAAGCTCGACAGCCGGCACCGAGTCATCTGGCAAGACAGCGAGGCACCGAGTCATCTGGCGCTCATGACAGCGGGCACGAGTCACCAAGCTCGGACAGCGGGCACGAGTCACCAAGCACGACAGCGGGCACCGATCATCTGGCACGTCAGCAGCGGCACCGAGTCATCCTGGCACGACAGCGGGCACCGAGTCATCTGGCAACAACAGCGGGCACCTGAGTCACCTGGCACGACAGCGGGCACCGAGTCATCCTGGCACGACAGCGGCACCGAGTCACCAAGCTCGACAGCGGGCACGAGTCACCTGGCACGACAGCGGGCACCGAGTCATCTGGCACGACAGCGGGCACACGAGTCATCTGGCACGACAGCGGGCACCGAGTCATCTGGCACGACAGCGGGCACCGAGTCATCTGGCACGACAGCGGGCCACCGAGTCATCAAGCACGACAGCGGGCACCGAGTCATCTGGCACGACAGCGGGCACCGGAGTCATCTGGCACGACAGCGGGCACCGAGTCACCGAATGCTCGACAGCGGGCACCGAGTCATCTGGCACGACAGCGGGCACGAGTCATCTGGCACGACAGCGGGCACCGAGTCACCAAGCTCGACAGCGGGCACCGAGTCATCTGGCACATGTCAGCGGGCACCGAGTCACTCAGCATCTGACAGCGGGCACCGAGTCATCTGCATGACAGCGGGCACCGAGTCATCTGGCACAACAGCGGGCACCGAGTCACCTGGCACGGACAGCGGGCACGGAGTAACCTGGCACGACAGCGGGCACCGGGTCACCAAGCTCGACAGTGGGGCACGAGTCATCTGGCAAAACACGCGGGCAGCGAGTCACCTGGCACGACAGCGGGCACAGAGTCACCTGGCACGACAGCAGGCGCCGAGTAACCTGGCACGACAGCAGGCACCGAGTAACTGGCACGACAGCAGGGCACCGAGTAACCTGGCACGACAGCAGGCACCGGGTCATTAAGCTCGACAGCGGGCACCGAGTCATCTGGCACAACAGCGGGCACCGAGTCATCTGGCACACAGCGGGCACCGAGTCACCAAGCTCGACAGCGGGCACCGGGTCATATGGCTCGACAGCGGGCACCGGGTCACTGGCACGACAGCGGGCACCGAGTCACCTGGCACGACAGCGGGCACCGAGTCACCAAGCTCGAAGGGGGCACCGAGTCACCAAGCTTCAGACAGCGGGCACCGAATCACCAAGCTCGACAGCGGGCACCGAGTCATCTGGCACGACAGCAGGCACCGAGTCATCTGCGCAATGACAGCGGGCACCGAGTCATCTGGCACAACAGCGAGCACTGAGTCACCAAGCTCAACAAGCGGGCACCGAGTCATCTGGCACAACAGCGGGGCACCGAGTCACCAAGGCTCGACAGCGGGCACGAGTCATCTGGCATGACAGCAGGCACGAGTCATCTGGCACGACAGCGGGGCAGGGTCACCAAGCTCGACACAGGCACAGTCTTCTGGCAAGACAGCGCACCGAGTCATCTGGCACGACAGCGGGTACCGAGTCATCTGGCACGACAGCGGGCACCGAGTCACCAAGCTCGACAGCGGGCATGAGTCATCTGGCACGACAGCGGGCACGAGTCATCTGGCACGACAGCGGGCACTGAGTCATCTGGCACAACAGCGGGCACCGAGTCATCTGGCAAAACAGCGGGCACCGGGTCTCCACGCTCGACAGCGGGCACCGAGTCATCTGGCACGACAACGGGCAACGAGTCATCTGGCACGACAGCGGGCACCGGGTCACCAAGCTCAACAGCGGGCATCGAGTCATCTGGCAAGACAGCGGGTCACCGAGTCATCTGGCACTACAGCTGGGCACCGAGTCATCTGGCATTGACAGCGGGCACCGAGTCTTGCCAAGCTCGACAGCGGGCACCGA